TGTCCCCTCTAAGTGTGGGGTCATGCTCTCTCTCTCTCTATCTATCTATCCATATCTCTTTCTCTCCCCTCTCTCTCTCTATCATTTTTTTCGCCCTCTGTCTATTTATCATTTTTTCGCCCTCTATCTATCTATCCATCTATCTCTTTCTTTTTCTCTCTCCTCTCTCTCTCTCTCTTTATCTATAAATCTATCCATCTCTTTCTCTCTATCTCTCTTTCGGAGTTTGTCTGTGTATATATATAGCTGATTATCCGTCTATCTGTTTATTCATCTTCCTGTCTTTGTATACATTTTTGTATGTACACATCTGTGTACGGTATATATGTATGTATGCACATGCCTATCTAACCATCCGCCCATCTACCCATCCATCGATCGCTCCACTGGCCCATCCATCCATTCATCAACCCGCACAACCATCCTGCCAATAACCCTTCCATCTATCCACCCACCCATCCATCCCTTCACCCACCCACCCACTGACCTTACCATCCTTCTATCCATCCACTGCCCCATCCATCCATCCACAACTTGACCCATCCAACACTCCAGCCATCCACTCACCCACCCATTGACCTCTCCATCCATCCATCCACCCACCCTTCTACCCACCCATCTATCCATCTCGTAGACTCGCATTTACTCATTCATGGAATTCTCCTTTGTATTCGCCACTCTTATGACCCTGGGAAGATCGCTGTCTTGCTTCAGATCGAGTCCACGTTTCGGTTCTCTCAGGTTTCATTTTCGGGAGAATAGGATATATTTCGGTTGTTTCTTTTATACCACCCTCAATATTTTTTATTGTTATCATCTGTATAGTTATTGTCATCATTATCGTAACTAACATTACCATTATCAATGGCATCTTCATCATCAACATCAACGTTTTCAACATTATCTCTATCATCAGTATTGTCATCATCATCATTACCAACATTATCATTATCATCATCAATATCATTATCAATTGAACAATAATATAATAAAGAGAAAGAGAGAGAAAAATGGTCGATAGACAAGTTTTATTTCGTTTGCAGATAGTGTCATGTACACACAAATGCAATCAGACATGGATGGAGAAAAGCACACACACACACACACATAATAGATTTTGACAGATATTCATATATGCAAAAAGAATAATAGTAATGGCAGTGATGAAATTATATTGTTCATAATAACAATAGTAGTATTATTAGTGATAATAATGATAATAATAATAGTGATAAGTATAATGATGATGATAATAACAGTAACAATAACAAAATCAACAAAAGTTGTGATAATGATAATGATAATAACAATTACAGTGATAATGATGATGCTATTGATAATGACGAAAATGATAATAATGATAATGACAGAAATGATAACAATAATGATAATGAAAATATTATTAATAAAAAACAATAATAATAATGATTGATAACAATAATAGCAATGAAAGGGATAATGACATCACTAACAACACGAACAACAATGAAGATAAAACAGATCCTGAAATCAAGTCAGAAAGCTTCCCTGCCGTTCTTATAAGGACAAGCCTTTCCCTTCAAACCGTGATGTTACGTCCTGTGTTTTGAAGATTGTTGTCCCACAGATAATTGTATTATTATTATTGTTGAGTATCTTAAATGCCTTTCTTTTGTTGTTGTTCTTAGCATTATTAGTATTATTTTTGTTACTCTTTAACATTTATTATATTTATTATTGTCATTATTGTTAATGTTATTATAGTTATTATTGTCATTATTGTTAATGTTATTATTATTGTCATTATCATTATTACTATTATTATTTTCATTACTATCACCATTATCACATTATCATTTGTTGTTACTGTTGTTATTTTTTTTATCATCATTATTATTATTTGCTTGCGGTGCCCGAGGCTAGAGTGGCATGGTGTTTTTGTTTGTGTTTGTGGAGCAAGGATTACGTTGTTGTCTTAGTTTCATATTTTTTTTTATAATTTTTCCTTCTGTTGTTCTTCTGCTCTCTCTCCTTAACTTTGTTTGTCCGTCTGTCTCTCTGCATCTGCCTGTCTCTCTGGCTATCTGTCTTTTTGGCTATCTGTCTCTTTCTTTGTCTGTCTCTGTCCTTCTCTTTCTCTCCTTCTCTCCTCTCTCTCTCTCTCTCTCTCTCTCTCTCTCTCTCTCTCTCTCTCTCTTCTCTCTCTCTCTCTCTCTCTCTCTCTCTCTCTCTCTCTCTCTCTCTCTCTCTCTCTCTCTCTCTCTCTCTCTCTCTCTCTCTCTCTCTCTCTCTCTCTCTCTCTCTCCTCTCTCTCTCTCTCTCTTGTCTGTCTTTGTCTGTCCCTGTCCTTTCTCTCTCTCTCTTCTCTGGTCTCTGTCTTTGTCTGTCTCTGTCCTTTCTCTCTCTCTCTCTCTCTCTCTTCCTCTCTCTCTCTCTCTCTCTCTCCTCTCTCTCTTCTCTCTCTCTCTCTCTCTCTCTCTCTCTGTCTGTCTGTCTTTGTCTGCCTGTCCTCTCTCTCTCTCTCTCTCTCTCTCTCTCTCTCTCTCTCTCTCTCTCTCTCTCTCTCTCTCTCTCTCTCTCTCTCTCTCTCTCTCTCTCTCTCTCTCTCTCCTTCTCTCTCTCTCTCTCTACTCTCTCTCTCTCTCTCTCTCTCTCTCTCTCTCTCTCTCTCTCTCTCTCTCTCTCTCTCTCTCTCTCTCTCTCTCCCTCTCTCTCTCCCCGGTTCCCTTCCACTTTCCTTCCTCACTCACTTCATTCATCCTTTCTGGGCGAACAGAATCGAGTTCTTTAATATCAAGACTCCCTTCCTCCCCCATCCACCCCCTCTCCCTTCCCAAGCCCCCCCTCTTCTCTGCCCATGCTCACCCCTCCCCTCTCCCTGCCCCCCCTCCTCCCATCCCTAATCCTCGCACCCTCTTAACTTTCAGACCCTCCCTCCCTCCTATTCCCCCCCTACCCCCCTCGTTCCCTTTACCTCTCCAAAGATTTTTTACGCGTGTTTCTCACAGTCGATCACTCCCCCCCCCTACCCCACGTCCGACCCCCCCCCTCCCTCCGCCTCCCGTGTTTGTCCTGTCTCTGTGCTCATTCTTGCTTTGGTGATCATCCTCTCTCTCTCTTTCTCTCTGTCTCTCTCTCTTTTTATCTCTCTTTTTCTTTCTATCATTTGATTCTCTGTCTCTTTCTTTCTGTTAGCATTTCTTTTTTCTTTCTTTCTCGTTTTCTCCTCTTTCTCTCTCTCTCTCTCTCTCTCTCTCTCTCTCTCTCTCTCTCTCTCTCTCTCTCTCTCTCTCTCTCTCTCTTCTCTCTCTCTCTCTCTCGCTCTCTCTCTTTCTCTTTCTGTCTCTCTCTCCTCCCCCTCCCTTCCTCCCAACCTCCTCCCCTATCTTCCTTTACTCTCTCTCTCTCTTCCCCTTCCCTTCCTCCTTCTCTTTTCCTTCACCCTTCACCCTATACACCCCTCCCCCCCCCCGTTTTCACAGGAGTACACACCACGCACCTCTTTCCTACCCCCCCCTCCTGTGCACCCTCCCCCCTATCCTCCCTTTCCCCTCCTCTCTTTGCCCTTTCTGTCCCCTCTCTTTGGGGCTCTCTTGCCTCCGCTCTGCTTGTAATCCTCCTTTGCATCGGATACTTTAACTCGGGTTTCTTCTTTTTTGCTCTTTCTGCTTTTTTATCTTTTTCTCTTCTCTCCTTTTTTTTCTTTCTTTTGTTTTCTTTATTTTTCTATTTTTCNACCCAACCACCCAAATACACAAACCACCCAAATACCCAAACCCACCCAAATACCCAACCACCCAAATACCCAACCACCCAAATACACAACCACCCAAATACCAACCACCCCCCAAACCACCAAATACCAACCCACCCAAATACCCAACCACCCAAATAACAACCACCCAATACCCAACCACCCAATACCCAACACCCAAATACCCAACCACCCAAATACCACCACCCAAAATACCCAACCACCAAATACCCAACCACCCAAATACCCAACCACCCAAATACCCAACCACCCAAACACCCAAATACCCAACCACCCAAAATACCCAAACCACCCAAATACCCAACCCCCCAAAACACCCAACCACCCAAACACCCAAACCACCCAGATACCCAACACCCAAATGCCCAACCACCCAGATACCCAACCACCCAAATACCCAACCACCCAATACCCAACCAACCCCAAATGCCCAAGTACCCAAATAACCCAACCACCCAAACACCCAACCACCCAAACACCCAACCACCCAAATACCAAACCACCCAAGATACCCAACCACCCAAATGCCCAACCACCCCAATACCCCAACACCCAAATACCCAACCACCAAATACCCCAACCACCCAAATGCCCAACCAACCCAGATACCCAACCACCCAAATACCCAACCACCCAAAATACCAACCCCAAACACCCAACCACCCAAATACCCAACCACCCAAATACACAACCACCCAAATACCCAACCACCCAAATGCCCAACCACCCAAATTACCCAAACCCAAATACCCAACCACCAATACCAACCACCCAACATACCCAACCACCCAAATACCCAACCACCCAAATACCCAACCACCAATACCCAACCACCCAAATACCCAACCCCAACCCAAACACCAAATACCCCACCACCCAAATACCCAACCACCAATACCCAACCACCCAAATACCCACCCCCAAATACCCAACCACCCAAATACCCAACCAAATCCCAACCACCCAAAACCACCCAAATACCCAACCACCCAAATACCCAACCACCCAAATACCCAACCACCCAAATACCCAACCACCCAAATACCCAACCACCCAAAATACCAACCCCCAAACCCAACCACCCAAATACCCAACCACCAAACCCAACCACCCAAATACCCAACCACCCAAATACCCACCCCACCCAATACCCAACCACCCAAATACCCAACCACCCAAATACCCAACCACCCACCCCAACCACCCAAATACCCAACCACCCAAATACCAACCACCAAATACCCAACCACCTAAATGCCCAAACCACCAAATACCCAACCACCCAAATACCCAAACCCAACCACCCAAATTACCCAAAATACCCAACCACCCAAATACCCAAACCACCCCCAATACCACAAACCACCCAAATACCAACCACCCAAATACCCCCATACCACCCCCAAATACCCAACCACCCAAATACCCAACCCCAAACCCAACCACCCAAATACCCAACCACCCAAATACCCAACCACCCAAATACCCAACCACCCAAGATACCCAACCACCCATACCCCATACCCAAATACCCATACCACCAATACACAACCACCCAGATACCCAACCCGACGAACCAATTCACGGACGAACGAACCAAGATGAAGCAATATTGACACAAAGACACAAAGACTTCCAAATGAGCTTAACCAGACGATGGACTCAGGCGTTTTGTGAGTGAGGGAGAGAGCTGGGGGGGGAGGAGAGGCGGAGAGGGGAAAGGGCGAGTGTGGGGGGGAGCGAGAGTGGGAAGGAGCGTGGAGGTAGAGGGAAGAGGGGGGAGTGAAGAGATTGGGAGAGGGAGAGGGGAAGAGGAGTGGGGGGGGGGGGGCCGAGAGTGCGGGAGAGAGGGTGAGGGGAAAGAGGAGGGGGGAGGGATAGAGGGGGGAGAGGGGAGAGTGAAGAGGAAGAGGAGAGAGGAGGAGGGGTGGGGGGGGGGTATGTGTGGGAGGGGGGAAAGGAGATTGATGAGGGGGAAAGGGGATGGGGAGGGATAGAGCGGGAGAGGGGAGATGGAGAGGGAGAAGGGAATAGGGAGTGGGAGAGTGGTGTGTGGGGGGGAGAGAGTGGGGAGAGGAAAGAGATTGGGGGAGGGAGGAGAGAGAGGGGGGGTGGGGAGAAGTGGGGGAAGGGGATAGGATTGAGGAGGGGGAAAGGGGAGTGGGAGGGGGAGAGGGGGGATGGGGAGAAGGGGGGTGAGGAAGTGGGGGAGGGGCGAGGGGTGGGGGTGGGAGAGTGGGGAGGGGGAAAGGGAGTGAGGAGAGGAGAGGGAATGGGAAGTGGGGAGAGGCGAGTGGGGTTGAGTGGGGAGGGGGAAGGGGGGAGAGGTGAGAGTGGAGAGGAGTGGGAGAGAGGAGAGGGGTAAAAGAGTTGGGAGGGGGAAAGGAGAATGGAGGAGGTAGATGGGGAGAGGGTAGAGGGCGGGGAAGAGGTGAGTAGGGTGTAGGGAGGTAGAGGGAAAGGGGAGAAAGGAGTGTGAGGGAAGTTGAAGGGGGGAGGGGAGTGGGGAGGGGAAGAGGGGAATGAGGAGGTGGGAGAGAGAGAGAAAAGGTAAACTACACGTATTTCAGCATGTGTGTACGTGCGTTTTTTTTCTAGATATTTCTCTTATCATGTATATCTGTATGTCTTGTTTTCTTACGTGTCTTCATCATTATGTTTATCTATTTGTTTTGTTTCGTTTTTTGTTTCGATTTGTTCCTCTCTCTAGCTCAGCTTTGCTTCTCTCTCTTTTTGTCTCTGTGTCTCTGTTGTCTCTGTCTGTCTGTCTGTCTGTCTTCTCTCTCCTCTCTCTCTCTCTCTCTCTCTCTCTCTCTCTCTCTCTCTCTCTCTCTCTCTCTCTCTCTCTCTCTCTCTCTCTCTCTCTCTCTCTCTTCTCTCTCTCTGTCTCTCCCTCTTTCAATCTATCGATCTATCTATTTATCTATCTCTTCGTCTTTCATTTGTTCTCTCTCTTCCATCCTTCTTCTGCCATTCCATCCCCTCCCTCTCTCACCTTTCCTTTTTCTCCGTTTCCATCTCTCCTCTCCACCCTCCTTCTTCTCACCCTCTCTGCCTCAACCCCTCTTTCGTCCCCTCTCCTTCCCTCCTTCTCATCCTCTCTCGTCCGACTCTTCTTCTCTTCTCTCTCTCTCTCTCTCTCTCTCTCTCGTCTCTCTCTCTCTCTCTCTCTCTCTCTCTCTCTCTCTCTCTCTCTCTCTCTCTCTCTCTCTCTCTCTCACTCTCACTCTTCTCACTCTCCTCATTCTCTTTCTTTCACCCCCTCCATTTCCAGTCCTCTCTTCCCTCCCTCTCCTACGCCTCCCTCCATCCCCCCCATCCCTATCCCTTCCTCTCCTCCCCTCTCCCTTCCTCCCTCCATCCCTCCCTCTCCCTCATTCCCCTCCCTCCCCTCCTCCCCTCTCCCCCTCCTCCCCATCCCCCACCCCTTCCCACCCCTCCTCCCATCTTTTCCCTCTCTCCCCACCCCTTTCCCTCTCAATTCCAAATCCTATCCCATATTGACCCAGAAAACATGCTTATGGCTCTTTTTCCCGAATTCCGGACCTTTGACGCAGAGGCAGAGAGGGCGGAGCAGTTGAAAACAATAAGAGGCTCAGACGATCTGCGTGTTGTGCCATTCTTGCGCCTGGAAGTTGCGAAAGGGGAAGTAGGGAAGGGAGGGAAGAGGGCGGGAGGGAAGGGAGGGAGGGAGGGAGGGAGGAAGAGGGGGGTAGGGAGGAAGGGAGGAGGAGGAGGGGGGAGGGAGGGAGGAGGGAGGGACGGAGGGGGGAGGGGAGGGGGAGGGAAGGAGGGAGGAGGGGGGAGGGAGGAGGGTAGGAGGAAGGGAGGGGGACAGAGGGGGGAAGGAGGGCGGAGGAGCGAGGAGGGAGAGGAGGGAAGGAGGGAGGGAGGGGGGGAGGGAGGGAGGGAGGTGAGGGAGGGAGGGAGGAGGGAGGAAGGACGGGGAGGGAGAGAGGAGAAGGAGGAGGGAGGTTGGTAGTATAGGTAAGTCGCGGGTAGCTAGGTAGGGAGCGTAGGGTAGGTAGTAGGGAAGGAGGTTGGTAGTAGGTAGGCAGGTAGGTAATGTAACGGTAAGTAGGGAGGGAGGTTGGTAGGTAGGTAGGTAAATATGTATGTAGGTAGTAAAGTATGTAAGTAGTTAGGTAGACAGGTAAGTAGGTAGGTAGGTAGGTAAGTAAGTAGATAGAGAGGCAAGGTGGGCAAGATATCGAAATCGGAAGTAGACAAGGTACCAGAGCGGTAGTAGCTAAGTGTTAGGTAAGTAGGTAAGGCTTAGAAGGAGGAAAGGTGGCAAGGTGGACTTGAAAGGTAAGTAGTTGAGTTGTCATAGGCAAAGTAGTCGATAAATAGGACAAGAAGATGAGTGCGGAAAAAAGTCTTAGAGAATAAAGAATTAAATGCTGAAATATCTATTATAGCTATCTGTCTACCTGTCTACCTGTCTACCTGGCCTATCCAATTTTGTTTAGTTTATCAAGCTATCTATCTGTCTATCTGTTTACCCTCTCCTTTAAATCTTCTTTTTTATCTATCTGCTTATCTATTTATCTATGCGATAACTAGAATAGGACGGTTGTTAACCAATGAAGCGAGAGTTAAATAATGATAATAATAATATAATAATAATGATATAATTATAATAATAATAATAGAAATAAACAAAAAAGAATAAGAAAAAAATGTAACAGCTTTCAAAATGGATATAAAATACATAATAATTAGGACAGAAAGGGAAAAAGATAATTTAAAAAGTATAAAACTAAACCAAATATTTTTTTTTTAAGTTCCAAATAAAAAAAAAACATCGAAACACCCCCCCCCAAAAAAAAAAACATAAAAGAAAAATAATAAATAAATAAAGATAAACAAAGACAAAAGAGAAACATAAACACTCCGAAGACCGGATAGACAAATAGACAGGAAGAATAACAAACGGCCAGAGAAACAGAGCAACAAAGGAGACAAAAAAAAAAAAAAACAGATCGAAGAATTTTGTAGAAAGTTTTCCAAATGTAAGAAACAAAGACTAAAAAAATAGAATGAAAAGGAAAATAGAAGAGGAAAGAGAGAAAGAAAGTGTCAGAAAAAAAACAGATGTAAAAAGAAAAAGAAAATGGAAGAGGAAAGAGAGAGAGAAAGAGAGTGTCTGAAAAATAAAATAAAAAGGTTTCCTTTAGAAATAAAGATAGATGCAAAAAAAAAAAAGGAAATTGATAAGGAAAGAGAGAAAACGAGGGTGGGAGAAAGAGAAAAAAAGAAAACGGAAGAGAGAAAGTGTGAAAGTGTGTGAGAAAATGAAAAAATAAGTTCCCAGTTGTAAAAAAATGCTAAAAGAAGAAAATGAAAGAGGAAAGAGAGAGGGAGAGAAAGTTTACAGTTGTGAGAAACAAAGATAGATGTAAAAAGAAAATGGAAGAGGAAAGACAGAAAGAAAGCGTGAGAGAAATTGAAAAAGTATGACTATGAGAAGAAAAAAAATACCCAGCTTTAAGAAACAAAGACAAAAAGAAGGAAATGGAAAGAGAGAAAGAGAGAGAGTGAGAAAAAGAAACAAAAAAATCCCAGCGAAAGGTAATAAAAAATACGAAGGAAATAAAAAGATAGAAAGAGATAATAAAAGAAAGAAAGAAAGTGGGAAAAAGGAATTTTAAAAAATCCCATATGTATGAAATATAAAAAAATAGAGAAAAAAGGAAAGGAAAGAGAAAGTGTGGGAATAGAAAGAAGAATCAAAACAAAACAGAAAAAGGGAAAGGAAGAGAAAGAAGAACAAACAAAACAGAAAAGGGAAAGGAAGAGAAGAAGAATCAAACAAAACAGAAAAAGGAAAAGGAAAGAGAAAGAAGAATCAAACAAAACCAGGAAAAAAAGGGAAAGGAAGAGAAAGAAGAATCAAAACAAAACAGAAAAAAGAGGGAAAGGAAGAAGAAAGAAGAATCAAAACAAACAGAAAAAGGAAAAGGAAAGGAGAAAGAAGAATCAACAAACAGAAAAAAGGGGAAAAATAGAAAGAAGAATCAACAAACAGAAAAAAGGAAAGGAAGAGAAAGAAGAATCAACAAAACAAAAAAGGGAAAGGAAGAGAAAGAAGAATCAAAACAAAACAGAAAAAGGGAAAGGAAGAGAAAGAAGAATCAAAACAAAACAGAAAAAGGGAAAAGGAAGAGAAAGAAGAATCAAAACAAAACAGAAAAAAGGGAAAGGAAGAGAAAGAAGAATCAAAACAAAACAGAAAAAGGGAAAGAAGAGAAAGAAGATCAAACAAAACAGAAAAGGGAAAAGAAGAAGAAGAATCAAAACAAAAAAAGGGAAAGGAAGAGAAAGAAGAATCAAAACAAAACAGAAAAAAGGAAAGGAAGAGAAAGAAGAATCAACAAACAGAAAAAAGGGAAAGGAAGAGAAGAGAATCAAAAAACGAAAAAGGGAAAGAAGGAAGAAAAACAGAAAAAAGGGGAAAGGAAGAGAAAAAAGAATCAAAAAGGGAAAAGAAGAATCAAACAAACAGAAAAGGGAAAAGGAAGAAAGAGATCAACAAAAGAAAAAGGGAAGGAAGGGAAAAAACGGAAAGAAAACAAAACAAGACAAAAAAGGGAAAAAGGAAGAGAAAGAAGAATCAAACAAAACAGAAAAAAGGGAAAAAGAGAAAGAAGAATCAAAACAAAACAGAAAAGGGAAGAAGAGAAAGAAGAATCAAACAAACAGAAAAAGGGAAAGGAATAGAAAGAAGAATCAAACAAAACAGAAAAAAGGGGAAGGAAAAGAGATCAAAACAATCGAAAAAAGGAAAGAAGAGAAAGAGAATCAAAACAAAACAGAAGAATCAAAACAAAACCGAAAAAGGGAAAAGGAAGAGAAAGAAGAATCAAAACAAAACAGAAAAGGAAAGGAAGGAAAGGAAGAATCAAAACAAAACAGAAAAAAGGGAAAAGGAAGAGGAAGAGAATCAAAANATCTGCTAAAAAGAAACAAAAGACGACCGATGGATGGTGACGTCACTACAAACTTTTTTCCAAAGGCCATTTTGTTGTTATTTTGTATGACTATTGAAGGTTTGATGCAAATGAAAAGTGTTCAAAGAAATATTGAGAGATTTTTCAATATCCAGATATATTAAACACAAAAATTGCTGAAACTATCCAGATCTGTGACCGCCCGAATGTCTTCACCGCGGAAATGTCACCTGATGTCACGTCAGCTGGGTCTTCCAGCTAGGCATGGAGTGACTTGAAACCTCCAGCACTATAACACACTTGCTATAAATAGACTTATACTTTTTAGATATATCAACTCTACCAGTTCAATGTCACATTTTCTTAAGTTATACATCTAATACATTTTCTATTAAGAAATGCGGGTGCATTTTCTGTTGCTGAATGTGGTTACATAATATGCTTAATAAAGTATTTATTGCTTATTGTTTTATGCAGTGCAATAAACAATTAAATGACGTAGGGATTCCAATAATCCTCACTCTGACCCTGCACACTGTAAGTGTAATCTAATATTTATCCATTTATGATAGTGGATGGTTCAATTTTATTATTCATATCCGTTTTCTTTCTTATCTAGTGTTTAGAAAACGGCAGTAATGCTGCAAAGGATTTGCGGCTAAAATGACAGGTGTAAAAAAATGCCGGAAAAATTGCGTTAAAGTACCGTTCAGCAAGAGTCGATATAATATTAAGATCGTGTAAAAGTCTGAACAAGAGTAAAAACAAGAAAAGCAAATAATAATTGTGTTGACCGATATAAAAACAGCGAGTATAAATTATTGGCGGTACACAACGCCATCTGTTGCCTACCAAGTAAGCAGTATTGTTTACATTCGAGACGATTCAAGATAACGAGGTTTATGGGTTTTTGTTTTTAAACGTTGGTGCAACCTTAAATATCTATTACACCATAACCAGTGGGATCATTACATTTTATGAACTTTGACATCTACAAAGCATTACTCTACAAGCCTATTATACTTCCATGTCAGAAATGCAACCATCCCAGTAACGAACTAAACATAAAAAACACGAAAAAAATGTAAAAATCATAGAACGCAGACAAAGGGACTTAATACACAATACACTGGGTTAAAAGATTCACATGAGCCTGAACAAGGGAAATCATAAATACGCATGAAGGGTCCACATACCTATCTTGCGTTTGCTGTTCAGTTTTTTATCCTTCCACGTCAACCAAGAGAGAGTCGGAGACCAGCCGCTGAGCTTGCCGCCAATAAAGGCAAATCAGCTGATAGATTCTGAGAACCTACATTATTGGAACCTTGAAGAGATACTCGTAAAATCAAGTATTTCAAATAATGGAGTAAGCTACTTTTATAATCATATCATATTAATTACAAGGGATCAGATAAACAAGACGGTTAGAATAACTGAGCTTAATACTTCGTAATGGATTGTAATAGAAAAGGGCGGTCTATATGGGATACAAAGATAAAATGAAAGAAGTGACACTCTCGGAGACGCTACATGATAATAAAAGTGATAATGATAATGATATTTACAGTAGTAGTGATAATAATAATCATAATCATAATACTACTAAAACAATAACGATGTTTATAGAGAACTGAGCAAATAAGTGCAACCTCACTAAGTGTGGATGAATTACAGAAAAAAACTTTAAGGCTGGTTATTGAAATCACTGGATTTATTCAATTTCACCAGTCATACGAATTTCTTATGTCAACATGCCTTTGTAGGGGACAACATTTTATTTTCACGGGAGT